AGCATAATGGTAATTGAAGCCCTAAGAATGGTTGAGACGACCCAAGGAGAGTTTGCACAGAGAAGAGCCCTGGAATACCAAAATTTAAGGTTTGAGGGGAGAGAAGAGCAGTTTACAAAGGGGACTGAGGAGAAAACCAGAAGAGCATTATGAAATATATCAAAGAAAGTTGCAAGGAAGGAATGGCTAATAGTGCAGGGTAGTTAAACCAGATAAGACCTGAAAGTGTCCATCGGATGGAGCAACAGGGCAGTCACTGGTTGTGTTGGCAAAGCAGCTGACTTGGAATCTTGGGCCTGGAAGCCTAGTTAGGAGGGTTGAGGAGTGAGTGGGAGATGAAGAACTGGGGCAGCAAGGGTACATTTATTAAGACTTTTATAAAAAGTTGCTTATAGATGGTATATAGACAGGGTTGCAAGCAGATAATGTGCCAAGGGCTATAGCAATTGTTTATAGAAGGAATGGAAACATTAAGGAATGCAGATGCATGGAGCAGTCAGAAAAGACTTTGCAGGGAAAAACATGCTTAAGCTAACCTTGAAGGGGAGGGGTTGGCATTTGTCTAAGATGGGAGGACTTTTCTGGAAAAAGAAATGGTGTGTGTAAAGGCAGAGAGGTAAGAAAACGTATGGCCATGTTTAGGGAATTCTAAGTAGTTCTGTTTTGCACCATCCCCTCCTTCATACGCCCTTCATTCCAGCCAGACTGGACTGTTTACTTGGACCCAAATTCAGGCTGCCTTTGACCTCTATGTCTTTGCTTACACTGCTCTCTTCATCCAGAACGCCTGCTAGCCGCACCCCACCACCGCCCACTTCACCAAATGTCCAAGTTTTCCTCACCCCTGTGGCCCAGCATGAACACCAAGGCCTCCATGAATCTTTCAGCATCTTCTACCTTCTCCTCCAGGTGGGAATAGTTTCCCCCTCTGGGAATTCTCACAGCATTGTATCAGTATTTCTCTTATGGCATTTCTAATGAAGCCTCATAGTTACTCAAGGACCCAGGACCACCTTTCTATTAGGACCTCCCGCATTACCTCCCGCATCTGACAGAGAGCCTTGCACTTAGCAGGCCTTAGGTTAGTTCAGTGGCTCTCAAAGTGTAGTCTCAGGACCAGCAGCATCAGCAGGTCTGGGAACTTGTAAGAAATGCCAAATTTTCTGGGCCCACCCCAGACCTGCTGATTCAGAAACTCTGGAGATGGAGAGCCAACAATCTGTGCTTTAACAAGTCCTCAGATGATGCTGATGCAGATAGTGTTTGAGAACCACTGGGTTAGCTGAAGGTCCCTCTTTTTTTTTCTGGAATAGAAATTTGCAGGGGCCGGCCCAGTGGCTTAGCGGTCAAGTGTGTGCGCTCCGCTACCGGCGGTCTGGGTTCGGATCCCAGGCGTGCACCGATGTACCGCTTCTCCGGCCATGCTGAGGCAGCGTCCCACATACAGCAACTAGAAGGATGTGCAACTATGACAGACAACTATCTACTGAGGCTTTGGGGAGAAAAAGGAGGAGGATTGGCAATAGATGTTAGCTCAGATCCGGTCTTCCTCAGCAAAAAGAGGAGGATTAGCCTGGATGTTAGCTCAGGGCTGATCTTCCTCACAAAAAAAAAAAAAAAAAGAAAGAAATTTGCAACTGCAGTTCCATTATAAGTACTTCCCTTGACTTTATCTGCGAACAAAGCTTTAAACACAACCACTTAGTTTATTACTTGAAAATTCCTCATTTCCACGTCCTTCTGTTTCTTAACATATCATCTATGCAAGAAATCTTTTATTAGCAAAAGAAATTTGAGCAATAGAGAAATGGTACCATTGTGCCTTAGGGGACACTAGCATCACTGGCTGTAGTAGCATCCAAGAATTAAACATTGAATTACTGAGGTTTGAACTTACTGATGGCTGAATTTCCTACTCTCCTTTTCTTTCACTTTCTCCTATGCTTTCCTTCTTCTCCTTCCCTTTCTCACTTTTCATTTTCACATTTAAAACTGTCCTAGGTTACAGTTCTCTGAGAGTATGCACTCTGGAGAAAAGATGCTATAAATGTCTCCAACATTTGTGATAGAAATCAAAGATTTCCCAACAAGTTCAGGTGGATTAGCCCAGAAAGTTCAGAATGAGTGGGGAAACATTCCATTTTGCTCACAATCTTTCAGCAGCCCATCACTTCAGAGACAGGATTTCAATCAGTGCAGAAAGGTATCTTTCCTTGGAGTTGAATTCACTTCAAACCATTCCGGGTATATTTACTGCTCGGTGAATTTCAGCATTTACTGCAGGTGTCAGCTTCCTATGGTGTAGAAAGATGCTCAAAATTTCTGCTAAGAATTTTTGAGCTTTGTGTCACCTCAGCCCCAGGTGATGATCAGACAGCTCTGGGCTAGGCAAAGGTGTCACAAATGCTTACAGAGATGCCTCAAACCAGCAGTCATCCTTAATAGGCATCCTGTCCTTTGCTTAACATATGAGCACTTTCACATCAATTCTAACACTTACTATTCACTGTGAATGCTATATGTGTGTGTGTGTGCATTTGTGTATACAGCACTCACAAGTGAATATATATATCATATAGATGTGAAAAGAAGGCTGAGTGAGGAGAATTTCAATAGCACAAAAGGCTTTTTAATTCACTGTAATGAATGCATAGATACAAAGGCCAGTCTTGATACAAATCTCATAATACCTGTGTATAATTCCTGTGTGCTTTTAATACACAAAAAAGAGAGAATGGGAGCAAACATACCACCACAGCATACATACACCACAGCACATGTGCATACTTTCATTGAACGTACAACACTGCTGTAGACATTTCCTCATGTAGTGGGAATAATACACATTGGAATTGCATTTTATAAAATATAAATACCAGTTAGGTCACTCCCCAGATCTCTTAAAGGTTTGGAGAAAAAGAAGGATATATGGAAATTGAGGAAGTAGATCTTCCAAGTCTTAAAGAAATAGAAATAAGATTTTTCTTCCCTATAAATATCTTCATAGTTTTGGTGATTCTGTTCCAAGGAAGCGTTGAATTCCAGGGTTTCAGGAAGTGTAGTCACTATCCAAACAGACACTGAGAGGTAAAATTCTTTACCCTTCAGAGTCTGCTGTATCTTTGCCATTTTATCCAATTAGGTTAAGTTCATCGATCATTTGCTGGTTAAAGAAGTGAGTCCTAAAAATGATGGGAAAGTGAGTAATCGTTTTTTTCTGTTCCAAATATATCATGCTTCATCTCTGAGAGAGTCTCCTGAGAAATCAGGCTCATATATAGTATCTGTCATTGCTTTCAGTGTCTTAACTATTTGGGGCAACTTTATAAAATAGCGATGTCCTATTTTTAGTCTCAAGTTGTTGACATCTAGATAATAGTGAATTATTTTTCACTATGGAAAGGACAAAGAGAGTCCTGTTTTTCTCCATGTTAGCAAACTATGAGCTTTAAGAGAGGATTTTAATCTGTAGAGCCTAGAAGAGTGTGGCCTGTGTTTGATTAATTGGATGTGCCCAGCTGGGGCACTTGCTTTCTTCCCCAGCTCCAACTCGCTGCTCGAGTTCATCTGAGTGTATAACATAGATCACCATTCCAAGGAACACTGTCAACTTGGTGGATGATGCTAATTTACAAATAAGCATGACACATGAGAATTTTGGGGAAAGAGAAGGAAGAGCCTGTGCACTTGAATGACACCATTTATATAAGAGGACTGGAAAGTCAGGACTCATTTTTGTTCTTGACAATTTCCTGAGCATCTAGGCTCAGTAGTGAAGAAAACAACCCTCATGTACAAACCAGTTTTATTGAAGTGGGGCACATTCTTCACCATATCTATCTCTTCATCAACTCTTATTCTAGGCTCCTTCCCAAAGTCCTGTATCCTCAAGGTTAGGAGGGAAAAGGAGGGAGCCCCTTAGCTCCACTCTGAGAGGGCAGTGCAACTAGTCCAGGCAGAATTTAGGTCCATAACAGTTTCCAGAGCCAACAGCCATATGTTGCCCCTAGCTCTAGTCTGACCATGTCCTAGCACTGCCCCAGTTGGCAGTTTCCAGATTACTTCCTTGTGGTCCTTCTCCAGCCTCTAGGACTCACACTGGCCAGTTCTACTCCAACAGGTTGTTTCTACCTACCCTCTCTTTTGGACTGCACTGTTTCTTAAAAAGCTAGTTCATTAAGCTGGGTTTGGTTTACTGGTTCATTTCTTCCTCTACTTGTCGTCGTGCTAAAAATTTCAACCCAAAACTTGTGAATTCAACAGCTGGCAATCTTCTCTGAATGCCCTTGTGTACAGAAATCTATAGAAAGTGCTAGGGAAAGACTCATCAAGGAATAGTTGAAACTTCTTCCTGAGCCATAGAGTAGGTGAATGGTGGGAATGGTCCTATGTAAAGGAAAAGAGTTAATAATAGCTATACCGAGTGCTTCCTCTGTGCCAAGCACCAAGGTCCCCACCCAAGCTAAATGTTTTTCATAGATTATTTCATTTAATCCTCTCTTAGGTATTATTAAACTCTATTTTACAGATGGGGAAACTGAAGCTTAGCAAGCTTAAGTTACATGTTCAAACTCACAGAGCTAGTTTAGAAAAGAAGCCAACCTTTCTCCAAAGCGTGGGCTCTTTTCTAAGAAGCTATACTTCTCTCAGCTGAAAGATTGCCTCTAAGCAGTTTAAATTTAATTCTAAGCAGTGGTTCTCAACTGTGGGCTATTTGCCCCTCCTCCAGGGAACATTTGGCCACATCTGGGGACATTTTTGGTTGTCACAACTTGTGGGAGAGTGCCACTGGCATCTAGTGAATAGAGGCCAGACATGCTGCGAAACATCCTACAATGCTCAGGACAGCGCCCAATGACCAAGAATTACCTGGTCCAAAATGTCAATAGTGCTGAGATTAAGAAACCTGGATTCAAAGAAGGGTGCATTTTTAAAGCCAATTCATAAAAAGCACGCGGTTTCATCTGTACCTCACTCGTGTACTTTCTATCCCATCACAGATGACAGCAGTCTTCTAAATCTAACTCCCTACCCCCTGGTTAGAAGACGGAAGAGAAGGTTCTTTGGGCTGTGTTGTCTTGTCTCAAGCTAGGCGATTCCTCCTGGAAACCCACCATTGGGGAGACCTGAAAATATCACAGAACCTGAGGACCTCCAGACAGCTGCACCACAGTTACTGGGTTTTGACTATGTTTTCTATGCTTCCTTATTGCTTTTATCCGCCTCCCGTGTCCTTTTAAATGATTTTACATTTGAAAGCAGCTGCTGTCAAGAAAAAAAAAAAAAAACCAGATTCACAAAGCAGGCTGTTTTTAAAAGGATTTTTAAAGCTGACATAGTGCATGTCTGCTCCAAACCATACCATGACAGAAGCAAGAATTATGATTTTTAAATTATTCACAGGTTTTTTTAAATGTATTATACAGAGAAAAATTATTTCATGTATGATAGTATATCTGTAGCTCTTGCTGATCTCATATTAACAATTTATCACATATGAAAGAAATCTTTAAACATAGAAATCTATTTAAACTGCAAAACTGTGTTCAAAAATCCAATCTATCGATATCGTTAGAAATATTATAATCAAACATATGCCACCTTACTATTGCTTTCTCTGCACTCATTTACGTTTAGTCTTCCATTTTGTCAGAATCTAAGAGCTTCAACATAAAAATATCTTAATTTATAATGCAACAAAACCATATATGAAAAGTATTTAAATTTTGTAAATATGCAATAAGCCTAATACCTTCGTACAATGCACATGGGCAACTAATTTCCTTTTGATCCAATGTTGTCTTTTTCAGCTTCTTGAAGAGTGAAGTAATCCAGATAGGAAATGGTGTAGTAACATATACAATTATCCTCAAATGTAAAATTGAGTATTCTCACATTTTGTTCTAACTGAAATCTGAAGCATGATGTCTGCACATCAGCATAGTGTTAAATCTTCTAGGGCATGCTGGAATTAGCTCAGATCGTAAAAATATTTAACATTTTACATTATTAATAAAATCTTTTTAGTTAAGCTAAGCTTGTCTCATTTTAGATGACTATGCAGATATGACTTTTCCAATGTGTACTTGGTGTCTTGTCTTATGCTTAAACTCTTGAAAGCAGGACACGTTAAGCAATACTATATTTTAGAAAGGAGGAAGCCTGGCGCTTTGTTTTGCTGCTCACAGCTTTGTTGTGATCTTCCTCCACTAAACTTGTAACATGGTACAAATTTAGTTATATTTTCCCTTGTTCTTCCTTTGGCCCATTTCCCAGACAGAATTTCCCATGGGGTGAGAAATCAGACCTTTGGAATTCTTTTCTTGTTTTCCGTAGTCTGAAAAATCCTAAAGTCAGACAAGAAGCACCAGTATCTAGGACAATAAAAGGATGAGCTAGATGCCTATAAGTGGTTTATCCAAGATGCATCCTTAATCCCAGCCCTATTCTTTCTCAGTACGAATGTGCACAGGTATTTATATGTCCACCAATATTTTGACCTAAAAACTAAATATATTAAAGCCTTTAGCTTTAGTGAAGAGAGAGGTACGTACAGATGAACTACTGGAGTAAGTATTGTATTAGGTTGAATTATATGAAATTGCTGATATTTGACTGTTTTGACCTATAAAAATGGCAATTGCATACAGTTCAACCTAATATCTGATGTTTGTGGAAATTAAACTTGGAATTGTCATCTAGCTTTTTTAATTGAAGGTGAAAGGATTAAAGGGTTGGAAGAGATCTCAAAAGGCTATGTAGGCCTCTATTTAGATTATATCTGCTGGGTTTTGGCCTTATTCTTGGAATCCAAAGTGTGTTCCAATGAACTGGTAATTAATTAATGCATGGTTATAGGTATGTCTGAGTTCATATAAGAAGTGCCCTTGAAAGTTTATAAGAAAATCCAATTTTCTAAATCAAATATTTATAAAACAGTTGTGGGAATATGCTACTTAAAGATTTCTACGGTGAATATTCCCTTGCAAAGCAGGTAACCACTCCCAGATTTACCTGGTCTGCAAACCCTGATTTTCGTAAATCAAGTTTGATTTACGAAATCAATATCCTTTCCTGAATGCGGTTCATTTTCATCCGCGGAGGTTAATTCACTTCAGGGCCATTGTTTTAGAAATTATGAAGTAGCCCAATTTGGCATGCTCTCAGCTCCTGTCTCTGCCCTCTCCCACCCTTCCACTATATTAAACCCTTAGCTTCAAATTAGTTCCTACTAATCCATGCAAACTTATTAACTGATAAGCCCAATCTTAGTGTTCAGCACATTCTTCTAAATGCCTGACCTAAATCACTTCTGCTTGGTTAATTTGTGCTCACTCTCGCCTTAGTCTCAGTGTGAAAGTAACACTTACCTTTCGTGCAGTTGTCCTTTGTACAGCTGAAGACTGTTAATAAATTCAGGTCTCACCTCCGTGTCTGGGAGGGCTATAGTAGCTATTCATGGAGATGGGAATTTGTCTAATTCCCTTGCTAGGCTTTCCATATCTAAGGTAAATAAATTCAGCCACTTTATCTTTTATTCATAGTGCCTGTTTCCCAGCCTTTGATCAGTTTTGTAGTTCCCGTGGACACACTCCAAGATTTATAGATCTTTCACTAGCGGGTCCTAAAATTAAATTTAGTGCTCAAAGTCTAATAACCTACACTGGCTCATGGTTGCAATAGGTCATTCACCATCTCCCATTAGATATGCCAGTGCATCTCTTTAGGAGCTGACCCCACCCTCGTCTCACCTACCAAAGGACTTTCTCAGGTGTAGTTCCATGAGGTAGAGTTCTACTGTCTCGGCTTCCTGCTGGTAATTCGCTTTCAGATTAGCAATAACACCGAGCTGAAACAGAAAAGGACGCAAACTTTTTCTGGCACACAATCACCCATTTTACCACCATATTTTTAATACCCCGTGTTGATTCTTTTTTCAGTTTATAGAGGCAATACATGTTCTTTGTGGGAAATTTGAAAAATACCACCAAGTATAAAGAAACTAAAATCACCGGAATCCCAGCACAATCATATTGTTTAAAACCACATTTCCAGGCTTCAAATCAGTCAGTGGCTGGGCCCACAGGCACTTTTGGATATGGTATGTGAAGAAATGCCCTCAGGGCCAAGGTGTCACTTTAAAAATCTGTCCACTAATGCTTTGCACATGTCTAGGAGCGGATTTACCGCACACTTCTGGTTGTACCATTGTTCAAGGGTGCAAAGAGGACTTTAGAAGCAGCACAGCCCTGATGCCTCCTTTAATGAAAGCTCTTGGGGAAATTCTAAAATCCTGCCAGGTCATTTTGTTCCTCGCTGCTCCTGGAACAGTTGGGATACTTACTGTTTGGCAATACTGCCACCTACTGAAAGCTGGGCTTTAGAGTGAGGGGAAAACAAATACACAGAGGATAAAAGCATCTAATTTCTTTTAGACAGCAAACAAATGGGCCAGATTAACAATGATCCCATATGGAATTTCAGACTCTGGAAGTCTCAAAGTTGAAAGGATTAAGAATATCATCCAGACTAACTCCCCACCCCCCACATGCATACCTAAGCAATGCCTGTCATTTCTTTGTGTTCTAGAACATCACCAAATGCAAAATGCTCAACTTTCAGGTAACTATAGATAGGATGAGAAAAAGCAGTGATGCTATTGGCCCAGAATAAATCATTAGAATTAAATATAAAGTCCAGAAATAAACAGGAGAACACAGAAGAATCGAGATGACATTTCAAATCCAGGAGAAAAGTTGAGTTATTAAGTAAGTTATATTGGGATAACTGGTTAGCCATTTATTGGGAGAAATATTAGATCTATACCTCATAACTTTCATCAAAATAAATTCTAGGTGAAGTAAAGATTTAAATGTCAAAGCACATAAATAAACATATAAAAGGACTAGCAGGCAATATTGATGAATATTTATGTAATCTTAGTGTGGAAAAAAGGTTTCCTCAGCATGACACCAAAGGATACCAAAGGAAGAAACCACAATGTATACCAAGGAAAACATAATGTATACCAATGTATACCAAAGGAAGAAACCACAATGGAAACAATGGATGGATTTGAGTAATTAAAAATGCAAAACTCTTATACAGTAAAAACAACAAACCAAATTAAGAGAAAACAAAATTTGAGATACATGCAACAAAGAGTGTAGATCTCTAATATATATCAAGAGCTTAAACTCCGTTACCTTTGGAAAGTTTCCGTGATCTACAACTCCCTTCCCAGCCAGGTGTTCCCATTTCATTCTTTCCTCATTGCCTTTTTTTCATTACTGCTTGTTTAACTGTCTGTTTATCTCCACTAACCTGGAAGTTCAAGAAGGTAGCAACCATGTCCATTCTGCTTACCATCATATCCTCAACACCTATCACAGTGCTAGACACAAAGCAAACACTGAAAACATGTTTATTGAATGAGTAAATAATGAATGCCTGAGTAAATGACATTTTATGACTCAAAAAAAATAAAACTTTCCAGTAGAAAATTGAGCCAAGAACAAAAACTGGCAATGTACCATAAATTAAAATAATGCACTAACAATAAATATGGAAATATTTGAAAATACTGGTAATCAAAAAATGCAAATTATTATGATAATTCCTTTTTATGTATCAGAAAGGCAAAGGGTATAAAGAATTAAAGTTTCCAGGGACAGCGAAGAAGTGTGGAAATGAACCTTCTCTTACAGAGTCAACAAGAGTGTAAATAATTCGACCTTTCTGGAAAATATTTTGGCAACGTATTTTTCATGTATGGCAAGTAATTCCACTTTTAGGGAAATTCTCTTTAAAAGGATCAGAAAAAATGAACTAAGATACATTCATTCATTATTCAAAAAATATATGCAGGAAAAGGAGCTTATAACAGCATTATTTGGAGGAATGGAAAAAATGTAAAGAAGCCTACAGTATAGTGTTGGTTAAATATAGTCTATCCTTTCAATGGAATACTGTGCACCAGTTAAGAATAAGCACCATATGTATATTTATTGAAATGAACAAGCTATATTGTTAAATGAAAAGGGAAGTTACAGAAGAATATCTACAGTATGAGCTCATTTTAAAAATATATATATACATGTGTGCATTAAAGAGTCTGAAAGGATATTTACTAAAATGTTAACAGCATTTATCTCTGGGAGGTGAGATTTGGAGCAATTATATTTTCTTTTTGCATATCTGTAATTTCTGATTTTTCCACAATGAGCATGTAGTATCCGTATAATTTTTTCAGGGAACAAACAACAATGTTCACAATATGTATTAAATGAAAAATACATGTTATAAAACAGTATGTATAGTATGACACAATATTTGTAAAAAAGAAAATTATATATAAATATATCTATGTATGTATATATATGCATAAGGAAGCTAGAAGGACATACACTAAAATGTTAATAGTAGTTATTTATGGGTAGTGGGATTATGGGTGATTATTTTTTCTTTTTGCTTTTCTGTGTTTTCTAATTTTTCTACAATGAATATGTATTACTTGTGTAATAAAAACTAATAATAAAAGTTTTAAAAAAAAGAATGGAAAAGTGAAAGAGACATTGTGACTCACCATTGCTCTCATCCTCCCCCCCTCCCCATCCCCTTTACTTATTCCTTGTCATCAAAATATGGGCAGTGGGGATATGGAGAGGAAAGACCAGGGCACCATCACTTGTGAAGATAAAAGAGAGAGAGAGACAAAGGAAGGTGGGAAGGAAAGAGGAAGGAAGGGAGGAAGAAGGTTAAGAGAGAAAGAAAGAATTGAGTGCAAGTGAAGTCAGTAGAGGAGGATAAAACAGGCTTTGGAAACTTTTTCACTAACAATAGCTTATTGCTTTTTATTGCTTATTGTCTTTAAATTTAGCTCATTTTTCTTGATAGCTATGACAAAAAGATACATTGGGTTAAATAATTTTATTTTCTAATAAAAGGAAATTATATACATGTCAGGAGAGACATCCGGAAATTAAATTCTGACAGGAATGTATACCAAAAAGTTTTTCAAAAGGTGAACTATTGCAGTCCAGCTAGTTGTCAAGGGCTATGCTGTACAGCCTGGAGTTACACAGACTTTTGTGTGACTCTCCCATGTGCTGCAACCAAGTACATAACTTTGGCTAGCAGTTCCAACACCCATTTTTTCTTTTCTTCCTTTAGTAACAGAGATCCCAAATTTTGGCGAGACACAGGCCAACTAAAGTGAAGACTCCATTTCCCAGGCTTGCTTGGTTGTGGGTTTGGCTATATAACTGAATTTTGGCCAATAGGATATGAGTGGAATTGTGCAATTGCCAGGTAACATCCCTAAAATAAAGGGCATGCATTTCCATGCTCTTCTCTTCTCACTGGGCTGCAATGAGAACATGAGGGTAGAAGCTGAAACACCTGTCTTGGAGTCAGAAACGGATACCACATGAAGATGACAGAAGTGCCTTAGCAGTCCTGGATCACCAATCTCCATACTATTACTTGATTAATTAATTAATTAATGACTTCCATCTTGTTTAAGTCACTAATAATGTGAATCTTTGTACAGAAGAACCTGTTCACCAGATCCATCAACTTCTGTAAGCCTCAGTTTCTCCAGAGGAAAATGGAGATAATAATATCAATATCACAAAAACTGTAACCAAATAACTGTCCAGTTACTTGCATAGAACTGGAGCTCTTTCATGAGAAAAATCAAACTAATGAAACATTGCGGGATATTGTGTTGCAGAACAGTAGTCAGTGGGAAATCTTTCAAATAGTATTTTAAATCAAAGAGTCAATTGTTTCCATGTAGAAAGAAATTAAACTTTACCCTTGCCTCATTCCAAGTTGATTATTGATCTAAAGGTAAAAGGTAAAACAATAAAGCTTCTGGAAGTTGATAGAAGAGAATATC